AAGATCTCATGATATTGATGAGGTACAACGCAAGCAGTTAGTTGTATATTTAATATCATTTAAACATTTGTCAAGTTCCTTCCAGTCCTAGATTTTCCACATTCTACTTGGTCATCACCATGTTTTGGGTGTGAAATAGTTTTCAAGTGTCCTGAAGAAGTCGTACTTTGACTTGGCCCTAGGCCATCTGTGCAAACACTAATCTGCCTTGGGATTGTCAGCTAGTATGGAATGCCACACACTTCTAACTCAATTATACTGGGTAGAAGTTTCCATTTCTTGTTCTAAGATCAGGGCTATACCTCCATGCAACAACCTTTTGTCTAATATGCTTCTTGAGGATGCAGGACACCACCTTTTAACACCTGTTAAACTAGATTAATCTAGTGTCAAACATAAAAACATTAGAACATCAAATATTAGTAATAGAACATATGTGCTAATATTCTTCCATTCCTTAACCTGCCCTCCCCTCAAAAAAAGCAAGAGTAAGTAGGAAAAAGTGGGTAGTAACCAGAACTCTTGTGTATGGAATTTTATCAGACGCACAGATTAATTGTGCCATGCATGCATGCATATTATTGGAAATGGTTCTTGGTTCTGACAGATTTCTCATCTTAAACACAACACAGCATGAATGTGGCTGATTACTAGTACTAGCTGTATCAAGAACATCAAGACAACCAAGGCTTTATGTGGCTTTTAGCAGAATGAATTAGATTGCCAGTATATTGTTAATCATACAGCACCTCCCAGGCATTCCTTGGTTTCTGGGGCTGAATCCATTTCTTTTCTACCAGGAAGGAGTTTGACCAAGATGACATTGTCTTGAATTACCGGGACCTTGATGGTGATCTGATCCGGTTGCTCTCCGATCAGGATGTTGAACTCATGGTGTCTCAGAGCAGGAGAAGGCCCTCGGAGAAGCATTTCTTCCCTTGGAAGTTGCACATTACTCACAAAGATGACTTGGGTGTCTACAACACTAGTCCAGGAATAGGTGCCACTCAAACAGTAAGAGCAACATGAGTGCTATATAGAGACATTCCAGTAGGGAGCTATACAGTCCTTTCGTAATCCCTCTCTGCAGGTGGTTTCCTTTAACAAGCCTATGAAGTGAGCTCGAAAAGAGTAATTTTTAGTAATATATTACCTTTCAGTGTAAAATCTGTGCTTCTTCAGCTTTTTAGAACTCCCCTGTAATAAAGACATCTACATAGAGACCAGAGAAAGTGAGGAATGGAGAAATAAAATCAAAGAAAGCCCACGTTAGCCTGCAGTAGAGGTTTAGTGTCCTGAGCCCTGCTCTAATCTCTATTCTCACTCCCAGAGCTAATTATTTGTCCTAAATGTCTTCATAAACCTTTTTTCTAGACTGCCATAATTTTCTCTTTACTTGCTGATATGAAGGTTTGTGTGCCAGTGCTTATGAATGCGTAATTATTTCTGCTGTGTGAGTCTCACTAGGCATTCAGAGTTTGTTCTGGAAACATCAATAAATTTTTTTCATATTTCAGTGAAGAAATTGCAGCAGACCTTTGCTTTCTTCTTTCCACTGACCAATATTTTGAATTCTGTGAATCAAACCTAGTACACCTGTGGTGTTCATCAGAGACCTTTTTGTAGGGACCACTTATTTCAGCATTCTGAGAAAAAAAACAGGATGCCTATTCAAATAGCAGTTTCTTCTCTACCTTCTGCTTTCTTACACCTCATTGCAAACTAGAACTAACAAGAAATTACTGTATCAGGCTCTTCAACAAATAAAGTTTATTTTATCAGTTTCTATTCACAAGGTTTTTATGGGGAGGATGAAATAACTCTGCTCCACCTTTTTTTTTTGTTTGAAAATGAGATAATTTTGAAGAAGGGTTTTAAAGTTACCTATTCATCTTTCCTTAAGGAGGATTTCATTACTGAAAAAAAACATTAAAAAATTCTTGCAATAATTTCTTTAATGGTCATGCAATTAAAATATTTCCTTTTTGAACAAATTTACTGCTGCTTGTAAGAATTACAAGTTATGAATGTCTTACAGTATTTTAGGTATCAAAGAATTTATGTATTCTAAAAACACCATGCAGTCATGGTCTTAAAAAGATACCATCAAGTATAAATATAATCAGTAAAAACTAAGAAGTTCAAGGAGTTTTCAAACAGCATGGTTTGGATTTGACTGTTTCTGTGGCATTAAGCTAAAATTCCTCATTTAAAAAAAATCTTTGTCCTTGACCTACTGCTAAAATTTGTACAGACAAAAGGGAAGATTAACAAGTATCTAAAGGTACTAAGAAACAGTTAACTAACGATGCATGAGTGACTCACCTAGCAAAATAATGTTTTATCCTTTTCTTAGATGTTACCTGTAATGTTATCAGGTAACAAGGTCTCCAAAACAACAAAAGTATTTAAGGTGACTTATCCTTTAAACTTGTTTGGTTTGGTGGGTTATTGTTTGTTTTGGTTTGTTTTTTTTTCCCCCTTCCTGATGTATATACATAAATTTATGTATATATGTGTACATAAGCTTTAATGTTCTATTTTCCATAGCCTGGCATTTACGCGGATAAGTGTACTGTAAATAAAGGAAAGAGTTTATATTTAAAGATAAGCATATTGCTTGCTATATTGGAATTCATAAATCATTTCTTACTTGACACTTTATTAAGTGCAAAGTTCTAGCAGTATACCAGTCCTGTACAGACTGGTGTAAAGAAATGCACTCTCCAAAGAGTTGTAAGGTATGCTACAGACGGTATCTGCCTTCCAGATGCAAAGGTTCCACCTGAAGAATCCATGCATATTAAATTTCAGATGTAGATAATGTATTCAGAAGAGACTCAGATCATGTCTTCCTTTTCTCCAAAAATGGTAGGTTTTAGTTGACATTACTGAAATGTTACAAAATGTAACTTCCCACTTTAAAGGCATTGTAGCAACACAGTTTAGGAAGGAGATGAAGCAATATACAATGATAATGTTAGTAATCTTACACTTTGTGATACGTAAGAGAATACATTGTAACTTTGAAACTTAATTGGCATGCATGGCCTGCACAGCTTGTGGTGTGCAGGATTGTACCTGTTCCTGGAGTTCAACAGAGCGAATAACATCTGAAGATTTTCACTGACAGCTAGATCAGCAACTCTGCAAGTCTGTTTGAAGATGGAGGAGCAGTTTGAGTGAGGAAGGAAAGGGAGGGAAAATGTCTGCTGGGAAATAAGAAGTCTCTTTTCTAGGGGTGGGAGAAGAACATCCATAAACTGACTGACCCCTGAAAATCAGAACAGGAGAATTCCTTTCTGCCTTTACACTGTAATGCAAAGTCAATTCTGCTCATCCAGCAAAGTCACATATTCCCTTCCTTGTCTGCAGATTTTATATGCACATTTCCTGAGTGTCCCAATGACACACAAGTTCCTCAGATACTCTCAAATTCCCCTTCTTGCTCTGCACATTTCCCTTATTCACAGTATACTTTTTTTTTTTTTCCTTGTATATGGATATGGTTCTTGAACCCTGCCTTGAAGATTGTCTAACCTAGAGTAAAGCAAGAAATAACACTGAAGTAAAAAGTAGAGAATTCTTTCGTAGGCTTTCTCACTTCTGCTGCAGCCAATCCTCTTTTTTTTTTTTTTCTGAAAATGCATGAGTCCCATGATCTGGTAATTGTTAACATGCAGATGGGCAATGACAAACTTCCTTCTCCTCCCTTCCCAGTTAAACAGAAGTACAGACTTCCTATTTTACAGGCAATTACACAGACTTTCCTTGAAAGGGTGTGGTCTGCTTTTTTGAAAGTGGCACATGGGGTGCAGAGAAGATACAGCAGTTATTTTGAAGACTTGCTTGCCAAAAAAATCATGTGGTTGGTTTACATCTTCTGTCTCCAGTTCTAAGGAAGTGTGATTTTGCTGGTTTCTGCATCAGAGCATTCTGATGCTGTTGGGGAGTCTGGACAGGGAGAGTCACCCGCCAGGTTGAATCATCTGCCTCACAGACAGCTCTAGATCCAGGTAAGGGAACTACTTCCTTTCTGGAGAAAGCAAAATGACATAGAGTCTGCTGTCATACAAGGACTTGTGAGTCATTAAAGAATCCTTAGCTGTAATGATTATTGAAGGGCTCAGACAGCTGTTTGTGGTGTAAGGGAGTGGCAGTCAGGAATCTGAAAGCCAATAGGAATTTAAAAAGATTTTTTTCCATGCTCCCCTAAAGTAGTAAAGAGTCTCAGCTCTGTAACATACTTGAGTCGGTGAGTTTATTATACTTTTGAGAGAGCAATGAGAAATGGACAAAAGAACTTGAATTCCAGTATTGAACAATGTGTTCTGTGGTCTTTGAACCACTCAATCTACTCTCAATCTCAACAATCACACACACACACACACACACACACACACACACACACACAAAAGAGGAATAATTTATTTGGTATTATTTCTGCAATTTGCAGCTTTTTGGGGGAGAGTAGTTGAAAAATTAGTATGTCAAAGAGAAATCTAAAAGTGAATGAATATGGAAATTCAACAGCTACAGCTCCCAGGATCTATGTGACTGGGGATCATATTTTAAGGAAAGGTAAAAAACAGACCACCATTGTGGTTCATTAAGAAGGCTTTGAGCGTGAAGAGCAGAAGGATGACTGAATTTGAAGGCTAAGTTCTCTTCACAGATTAGGATTGTTTCTTGTTGCTACTCAGCTGAAAGAATCCCTACATTTCCTTGGAAATGTGCATTTACTTCTTCATTCTTTGCTTATATTGCAGGCTCACACAGTAAGAAGACATGGATTTTGTCCTACAATAAATACTTTGTAGAAGTTCTTTCTAAATGTGACTCCAACACAAAGCCTGAAGAAGTTCCCTAATTCAGTTTTACTTCTCTTTATGTGAAATGAAAACAAGAAGCTCCACAATAAGCAGAGCAAGAGAGCAGACAGTGGACAATGAAAACAATTCTCTTCTGAATTAGGATCAAGCTTGTGCACAAAGGACAGTATGAACATGAAAGAGATTATCATCCTTCTGCTGAATCTGTCTTTGATCCTCAGCATCCAAGCCATGCAAGGTGAGTTTAAAATTTATATTTTCTTTTATTTTTCCATTATTGTCTTTCTTTAGGTATCTGTCTCCTTCTTTCAGCTAATGCTCTTCCTCATTTTCTGGTTCCCTCTGCCACCATCTTCTGTGCTGTAGCAGAACAGACATCTTGATCAAAACCAGTGTGTAGCAGATGCATGTACAAACAGATCACTTGTATATTGGTGGTATGAACAGGTGAAATACTGGAAAAATGGATGAGATTACCAAGCTGAATGGTTAATGAGTGAATAGGAAGGAGGAATAGACTCTGATAGTCAACATAGGAAAATGATTCAGATGGTAGGGTACAGAAACAGAACAGATCTTGGTGGTATCTTGACATTCTGAGCCTTAGCCTTACATTCAGACTCCATCTTTCTATGTAGGGTGCTCCATTTTCTGGTTATGCAGAGACTGCCATAGAACTTACTTTGCACTGGTTTTCAGTAGAAGATCAAAGGAAGATCCCTCTTATGCCTGCTAGCTAGGACACCACCATACTTTTCTGATGTTTTTTGCCTGTAAATAGCCCCTCAACCATTCTGATAATAGTTCTTATCCAGAAAAATTATTTGAGAGAGCATACTCATGTTTGCACGCTGACACCTCTGTCATCTGAAGGTTATATCCCAATAGTGCAGCACAGATATTACCTTCGGAGAAAATAAAGAAGGGGCATAAAGCAACTTGCTTCATAGTGCATGTAGCAGAGGCAGCCTGTAGTTTCCCACTTCACAGTTGTGAGGTTAAAAAAAAAAAGTTATCCCTGACAAGAGGTCTGGCCATTTCTGGGTCATAATCTAGTTTCAACAATTTATTTGGGCATTATTCTGAGTCATAACAAGATTATTTCGAGAGCATCTCACTTTTAAACATACCTTTCTAGTGTCGTAACCTTTAATAAGAGATTCATGGCAAAGAAGTCCCATACAGCAACACACAAAGATAAAATGATCAGCATATGCCTATGGTGTTAGGTATCTACTAATCCCTGGAAACAATCAGTGTTTGAAAAGTGATACCTTGGCTAGAATTATGTTTCTTGCAGGGACAAAAGTCTCACTTCATTGTTGTTACTTGCAGCTTGATTTGGACATTTGTGTATTGTGGAGATGTGCAGAATGGCCACAACTTTGTACATATGTTCACCAGGAGTCATTTTCTGGTGCCACGAGGAAGGTACTGTTATCGGTGCCTTCTCCATTCTGCTGTCAGAATCACTGTACCTTTTGCTATCTCTCACTAATTAAATTTCTAATCACTGCATTCTTTTTACCTGAATTCCTTTCTCAGAGAGTATCCCTATGAAGAGCTTGAGCTGCTACAATGACTACAGCTCACAGGTGACCTGCACATGGATGGAGCATTCAGAGGCTCGTGCCCTTGTTGGTATGATTCTTTACCAAAAGGATAATATTATAATGTAAGTACCCAAAATGTGCTGTGCTGGATAAAAGTCCAAAGGGAAATTGGCCACAACTTGGAATCCTGGGGACCAGCAGTCAGTTTTTCAGAAAGCATGGCCACCCCTTTCAGTCATCGGGTTAAAGTAGAAATTGTGCCTGCTTTTGAGGCCTCTTCTAGGAAAGAAGGAATGAATAAGGTGTGCTAGTGGAATTTTATTTGTCACCTTTATGATTTTTTTCTGATAATTTCATTGTGGGATCATAGATATGAAATAAAGTGGGGCATATAGGTTGCTATTAATGGTGTAGAGAAGATGGTGTCAGAATAAGTGTGAGTCTGAGTGTTGTTTATAAACCCAAAAGGGAGGAGACATTCTCCCTGTTATTTTGTCCATTTAGGAGCATCACTGAGAGTATGGTTTTGATAACTTCTGAGAAACATGTATAGACTGTGTGTTTGTGAGATAGAGAAGACTTGGTAAGTTCATCTGTGCTATCACTTTTCCTCCCAGAGATACTGGTCTGTTTATGACAGTATCTCTCTGTTACACCTGTTTCCTTATGAAAAGGGAACTGAATCACCAGACTAGATAAATTGTGAGGATAAGAAAGGACAGAGAGGGAAGAATAGTCCAGGGAGAGAGGAAGACAGAGATGGAAAGCTGAGAAGAAAACGAATTAGCCTGAAGATAGGCGGAGGGATGGAAAGAGAAACTCCTGACTTCACTGTAAAGAAGAGAGAATTAATAGACCTAAAAGCAGCTGAAATCTGCAATACTGCTGAGTAGACAGAAATATCTTCAGGACTTCACAACCCTTGGGCTAACTCTTTTGATTAAGGATATGCACGTGTATGGTCAGTCCCACCCATACTTTAGGATTAGCCCTGGTTTCCTTGCTAGTATCCAACTTTTAAAAATAGCAATAGCGCTGAATAATGCTTGCTGACATATGGCTGGCTAGGAGACTCTGTCCTATTCTGGAAGACAGTATTTGGCTTTAGATATTCACAATTTAATAATACTAATCTGAACTGGAACAATATAATATACTGGACATGAAACCATAAGCACAAAGAAAACACTGGAGGGCACAAAAAGAAGCAACACATCTCTCCAGCAGCTCAGGCTACTACAAGCACACAAAGTTTATCCTCTCCTGTTAGTTTAAAATATTGTTTCTAATTTTTATGATGCTCATTGGCCTGGAGAAAGGTTATCTAAAAGGGTGGTTAATATACTGGATGAAATCTTTAATGAATACGTAAGATACCTTGGAAGAACAGAACTACTAGAGATACAGAAGTACATTTTGGTTGGAGAGTTTACTTTTACATGTCATTCTGAGACTGAATAACGAATTTTTTCAAGAAGCTAAGGATCATCAGAAACTTTCCCGTCTTTCACTCTGAGTAAAAGGCGCATTTCCATGACATTATTTTCCATCGTACTATTTCTCAACTGAAAAATATGAGATTATGTAGAGTTATGTAGGCTAAAAACTAACAAAAACAGACTGGTACAAAAATATAACATTCTGCTGTGCAACTTTGAAATGGGAAGCATTTGACAAAAATCCCGATCTTAAAAATGTTTGTCATATTAACTGTCACAAAACAGGGCTAATAGATACAGTGAGAAGAGGATATATAAGTGCCCAAATAAATTATAATGACAGAATGGGATGGAATTGTTTTCAGGCATTTAATTTTGCATTATCTATATGTCTGCAAATCAGATCCTTATAGCTCACTTTCTCTATATACAGGGAGACCAAGGAGATGCTTTGCAAACGCCAGACAGAAAGTGACTTACATGAGGCTCCAGACTCCTATGTGCACTGGTTTTGTCACAACACTACAAACAATTTTGGAATAGGAGTAGATTATATTTACAGCTTCAAACCTAACAAGATACTTCAAGCAGAACTAAGTGTTGATCTTTTCCAAAATGGTAAGGATTAAATACCAAATTCTGATTTTCCAATTGTCTTGGCTTTGCTAGGATAGAGTGAATTGGCTGCCAGCTGTTTTAAACTACTACACAAATGAATATTAGGGATCTTAGAGTATGTATTTCCAGTTCAGTCAGGAAGTGGATTCCACTTCCATTGCAAAAACTGCCAAAGAGTTCCACATTGAGAGGATGGGACAGGGAGGGGAGAGGGCAAGTTTCTGGGAGCAGTTGGACCTGGAAGGGAGACTCAAGCAGGAGCTACTTGGTGTGGCAAGGATAAGATAAACTGTAAATGGGGAATCTTACTTAGGTATTTTCTTCCACTCTTCCTGTCCCTGTCCTCACTACCTCCTCTCATGGGTTGTACCTTCATCATCCAGTTCAGACCCTCCCACCTCAAAACCTCTCAGTCAGCTTGATGACATCAGGAGACTTCTTGCTGACCTGGAAAGCAGCTGATGGAAGCCAAGGCATGGGCAATGCACTGGAGTATGAAGTCACTTACAAGCGGGAGTGGGAGTCCTGGGAGGTAAGAGTGGAGGAGATGAGCTGTCCTGGTTTAGGCTGGACCCCCTTGGGCGGTTGAGAGCCTGTGGTAGAAGTTGTGCAAATACATTTGAAGTTGTTTCTCCTTCCAGGAGGATGCACTTAAAAAAAAATTTTTAAGTGTGCATAACCCCAACTCTCCAATTTCTTCCCTCCCTGCTGTCCCTCCTTTCCCCAACAACAGAAAGCTGCCTCCCTCTTGCTCTCCAGCACCACCCATTGCCACCTCAGCCACAAGGACCTTGTCCCTGGAAGCAGCTACGTTGCCCGTGTACGAGCCAGACCGGGACGGAGCAGTGGCTTCTCTGGGCAGTACAGCGAGTGGAGCACGGAGGTGTCATGGGAGACCTCTGAAGGTAGCATGAGATGGAGCAGGGCTGTGCAGGGCTGGAAGTGCTGGCTGAGAAGCTGGACCTTTCCTGTCACTTAGCTTGCTCTCATCTTCTCTGAAGGTGGCCTTCAGCCCAGGAACCTTCTCTGCCTCTTCAATGGTGCAAACCATCTGATGTGCAGCTGGGAAGTGAAGAAAGCGATCACCACCTCTGTCATCTTTGGCTTGTTCTTCAGGGCCACTCCAACATCAGCGTAAGTGCTCTGCCCATGGCAGCATGCCTGTGCCTCTGCCATGGAGTTTCTGCTGTGTCCCATTCCCCCTGATCTCAGCTCAACCTCTTTTTCTCCCCTCAGAGAAGAGGAGTGCTCTCCGGTGCATGAGAAGGCTTTGCCCCACATCCCGTATGTGGTCCAGAGCTGTGAGATCCCTGTTAACAACTCAAGCAGTCAGAGCCAGTACCATGTGTCTGTCCGGGCCAAGACAGAGGAGAAACTGGTTGAAGCCTACAAGAACAGTGAGTTGCTGTGTAGTTTTTTGCTTCTCCTGATTGATTGTTTCTTGGAGAGATGCCTTGCTGGGCAAGTGGGGTTGAGGACAGCAGTGGTGAGGAAATGTGTGTGGGAAGAGGAAGAGACTGGGACTGATGAAGAAAGGATCTGAATACTGTGTCAGGTCAGAGGTGTGGGAGAGGTGGTTTGCAGGTGTGGAGTTCCTCAGTGGGGTATGGAGTTCCTCAGTGGCACTTGTTACTCTGAGAAAGGTGGCAGCGGTGGAAACTGCTGTGCAGAAATTTGGGTTGTGACCCAGAGCTCCTCAGTGAGTGACTGTCACTCTGCTGACTTCTCTGTGATTGACCTTCATGGGTGTCCCAGGTGACAGAGAGCTGTTTGTGGGGAGTGTGTCACTGTGTGATTTCTCTGGAAGCCACTGGACCTCTTATGGGTTTGTGCATTGGCCCCTGGAGCAGCAGATGGGGTAGAACTCTTCTGCTAAGTGGGGTGCACCACGTGGATCATCTCTGCCTGCATGTATCGGGAAGTACTGCTGCTGCTCTTCACAGACTAAAGCTGGGAGATCTCCTGCAGGGGGTGAAAATATCAGATAGTAGCTCCAAGAGAGCTGAAAAATCTCTGGAGATGTGGTGGACCAGAGCAGATGCTGGCGATATTGCTTTACTGCATTTCTGTAGAGAGGGAGTGCTGTCAGTATTGATGGATATGGATTTTCTGTTATTTAATGGCCTACAGGTTCATTGCATTTGACTAGAAAATGAAGATTTGGGGAATTAAGAAGTGTTAAAAGCAGAGCCTTTCTTGGTGGTGAAAGGAGTGATGGACCAGTATGTTGATAAGTACTCTGAGATGTTCCATGTGTTGCAGTTAAAGTGCTGCCGCCTACAAACGTGTCAGTAACAGTGACAGAGGACCAAGAGTATGAACTGAGGTGGATAAAACACACTTTGGGATATAACTTCATAAAACAGAGATACCAAGTTGAGTACTGGAAAAACCAGCAATATGAAAAGGTACGTCTTAGGAAGTGCAGGAGTCCTGGATTTCTCTTTGCAGGGCAACTGGGAAAGACAGTTCCTCTCACCTCCATCATTTGTGCTTCTTTCTTCTCCCCAGACTCTCCAGAAGTTAGATATCAGCAATGATGAACCCCCCTTCATCCTCACCCTGCAGATGCTGGCATCATCTACAGAGTATAGGGGGAAAATGCGTGCAAGGGTGAATACGCCTCTGGATTACGAGGGGCCTTGGAGTGAATGGAGTGAGGAGTTCACCTGGAAGACTGAGAATGGTACTTTTCCTGCTGGCTACTTCTGTAAGGTTTTGTGGGCTGTTCATGGCTGAAATGCCTCTCTAGAAAAATAGATTCTCTCAGCTGGGGTTGAAGGTTGGTCCAACCATGAGCTAGCTGGGGTTGCTTGACAAGTAGCTGTCCTGTCCAGATCCTTGCAGTACAGCAGCAATGCTAATGAAGGAGATGAGCAGGCAGAGACAACCCTTGAAGCTTCTTTCCTACTTCCCCTCCCAAGATGAGTACAAGCTGTTCAAGCCACGTTTGGTCTGTCCCACTTTGGAGGATATCCCAACAGTTTGAAGGCCTCACGATCCTATCCCGTGATGTGCCACCTATGTTTCCCTGAGCTGCTTGCATGAGGAGTGACCAGAGTGAAGAACCTGTTGTGAGAAGCAGCCATTCTGCAGGTGGATACCTGCTTCTCTTTTCTCTCTTTCAGTTCTGTCACCAGTGCTTCTCCCAGTGATGCTCCCAGGTCTCATCATCACTTTGCTGGTAGTTGCTTATTGCAGCTATAAGTATTTCATCAGGTAGGCTTGCATTGTGACTAGGAGAGAGCTGCGTGTTGGTCATGTGTGTGGCATAAAGGCTGAGGCACTGCTTGTCCCCCATGAAAGAGAGGTCTACGTGGAGATGAGCCATGGCGTTCAATGGGTAGCCTTGTGCATGTCTGTGCAAGGGTGAGAGTTGGGTGGTGGCATGCCAGGGCCTTGGTGGTGCCTCACTATGCAGAGCAGCACGGTGTACAGGGTGCAGTCTTTTCTGGTTGCAGCCACGTTGAGAAGTAAATCATGAAAACTCTGTGGTGTTGTTGCAGGAAGAAGCAAATGTGGGAGGAAAAGATTCCGAACCCTGGCAAGAGCCTCCTGATCCAGAGCTATCTGGGGGTAAGAGGGAATTGTACCTTGAAGAATTCATTATTTCTTTTTCAGGATTCCAGTAATCTTAAACCAAATTTCTTGTCTCCTGGTCTATAATGAACAGATATCTCAGAAGTCTATGCATTATTTTTAGGAGAAGTTCTTGTCATATACAACATAACTGTATTCTTATATTTATGTTAGTAGTCTTCTTTGTGTTGTGTTTGTCAGCATCGCTATGATTAAAAATCAAGATAGAAAATTTTCAATACTTCTAAATTTTAACTGACTGAAATAATCCAATGTCCTTAGAAAACTTCATCAGCTGATGATTTCATTCTCTTCCAAATAGTAATCTACAATAATTGACAGCTTTTTAGAATGGGATGGTAGCCCTATTGAAGAAAATTTTATTTTAAGGAGTTGGATTTTCTGGAATGTTACCACATGCTTGTCTGTTACCAGAACAAGCATTCTGTATTGGAAATAAAGGAACACACTTAGATAGCATTTGGTCAAAACTGTGTAAGTCAAACTTCCCTCCCTTCTTCCTCCCTTCCAAAACAACCCCAGCTTCTGGAAAAAGTGGTATAGGCATCTGGATTTTGATGATAAAAGTCTTTCAGTCTTGCAAGAATAGCTAATTCAATAGTGTGCCCAGACCAACATACACTGAGAAATAATTTTGTATAACAGTTGATTCTATTCTATGTTAATAAGGGATGGGTTACAGTGAGTATAGCTACATGGCAATCCAATGAGTATAATTTACAGCATGGCCTCTGTGTGAGCACAAAGAGAATGAGCACTTACAGTATCCGCATTTGTGTGTGAGTGAGGGAATTAACACGTTTGTTAACCATTGCACAGCAGTTGTGTTGCTGTAAAATGGACTTTCATCGTAATGACCTGTTTTAATACATAATTTTCAAACAGATGGCAAAGACTAGGCATGGATCCTCTTGTGCCAGAAGACAAACTGGTTATGCTTATACTAAAGTCTCAACTTAGTTTCTTTTGCCTGATATCTACAGTGCAGTTCCCACTCTAAGAAGCACCTTAATAGCTTTGTTTCCTATCCCCTACCTGTTTCTCTGTCCACAAGCACTCACTGCCTTAGTTTCATGTTGCTGAAAGATTCCATCCCTGCACTGAATTACCTTATCCTAAGCTTTGTAAACATCCCAGTTATTCTGTTTCTCTGGTCAGCGGGTATAGGACAGTCATTATACCTCTACAGGTGAAATATTGCCCAGAGTGTTGCCATGTGATGCTGGAAAAGCTTTGATGTTTATTGTGGTAGGAACCTGCAACATCTCTAAGAACAGTTTAAGGGAACAACTCTTGTCCCCTGTGCTGTGTAAAGTTAGAATAGTATAGTATAGTATAGTATAGTATGGCATGGCGTAGCATAGTATAGAATAGTTTAGTTCATTTGTAAGGGACCTACAATGATCATTTAGTCCAACTGCCTGACAACTTCAGGGCTGACCAAAAGTTAAAGCATATTATTAAGATCATTGTCCAAATGCCTCTTAAACACTGACAGGGATGGGGCATTGAACACCTCTCTAGGAAGCCTGTTCCAGTGTTTGATCACCCCCTCGGTAAAGAAATGCTTCCTAATGTCCAGTCTAAATCTCCCCCAGTGCAGCTTTAAACTATTCCCATGTGTCCTATCATGGAATACCCAGAAGAACAGATCAGCACCACCCTCTCCACCTCCATTCGTCAGAAAGCTGTAGATAGCAACGTGGTTGTGTGCCTGCTTATCTCACAGCTGGACAACTTGTCCAGAAGGATGCTGTGAGGGACAGTATCAAAAGCCTTACTTAAAAAAACCAACAACCTACATCCAACCTACTGACTTCTCTTCATCCACTAGGTGGGTGACTGTACCATAGAAGAATATCAGATTGGTTAAACAGGACTTTCCCTTTGTGAAACAATGCTGACTATGCCTGATGATTGCATTATTCTTTAAATGCCTTTCAGTAGTACCCAGAATGATCTTCTCCATAATTTTTCCAGGAACTGAGTTTGTCTAACAGGTCTGTAGCTTCCTGGGTCTTACCTCATGCCCTTCTTGTAGACTGGAATAACATTGGTTAGCTTCCAGCCTGCAGAGACTTCTGCAGACTCTGAAGACCTTTGGTAGATGATCAAGAGGGGTCCTGCTGTAACATCCACTAGCTCCTTCAGTACTCTGGGCTGAATCCCATCAGGCCCCATGGAATTATGAACATTCAGCTCCTAGAGCTGGTCCCTTACAGTTTCAGTGTTCACAAATGGAAAGTCATTGTTCCCACACTCATGATCCTCCAACTCAGAAGACTGGTCAGCTTAAGGTCTATTAGTATTTTTAAAGACTGAGGCAAAAAACATATTGAATGCCTCTTCTTTTTCTTCATCTCTGTTAGTCAGGTGACCATCATCAACAAGTGTTGGTCCAATGTTTACTTTAGGCTTTGCTATTAATGTACTTTAAAAAGCCCTTCTTGTTGTCTGATACAACACTGACTGGCTTCAACTCTAATTGAAGCTTGGCCTTTCATATCTTCTCCCTGAATATTATGAACCACAGCTCTGTAATCTTCCTGCAAAGCCTGACCTTGCTCTCAGAGATCATACATTTTCTTTTTCCTCTTGAGCTCTAGGAGTTCCCTGTTCAGCCAAGCTGGTCATCTACCCAACTTGCTTGACTTACAACACACTGGAATTGCCTGCTCCCATGCTTCTAAAAGACGGTTCTTAAAAACTGATCAGCACTTGTTGACTCCTAAGCCCTCAAAAGCAGATTCCCAGGGGACACTGCCAAGTAGCTCCCTGAATAGCTCAAAGTTTTCTCTCTTGCAATCCAGGGTAGCAACCCTGCTGTCCTTTTTTCTCATTCCTCCAAAAATTTTAAACTCAAGCATTTTGTGATCACTGTGGCCAAGACAGGCACCTACCATCACATCTCCCAGGAGTCCTTCTCCATTCACCAATGACATGTCTAGGAGGATATCTTTCCCAGTTGGCTCACTGACTACTTGTAGTTGTCAGTGGTAAGGGTGGCCAAGACAGGCACCTACCATCACATCTCTCAGGAGTCCTTCTCTATTCACCAATGACATGTCTATAGGAGGACATCTTTCCCAGTTGGCTCACTGAGTACTTGTAGTTGTCAGTGGTAAGACCATACGAGTTTGAAGTAACTGTCTTCTGGAGAACGGAACACACCTTTTAGTTATATTAGTGAAGTCATATCCCTATTGCCAGAAGCTGTAGGCTCTCCTATTTGTTTTCTTTGTCCATGAGGAATGTATGATTCTTGATTCTACTGCCAGTGTCCTGTCTGCTTTTTCATTTTCAGAAAGCACATTTAGGAAACTGGCCAATAAGCAGCCAGCTGGACTTCAACAAATACAACCTTTCAGAGAAGATGGAGCAGGCTAGCTTCCTTCAAGTTGTGGACAGGTAAGTGAATAGCACATTATAGTGACACTGTGGATTATAGCCTCAAAGAACTCCTTAAGTCATGGCAGGATATAATCAAATGTTGTCTCGCTAAAAAGCCTGTACAAGTTGCTTTTGAGGAAGGGATACATATTTTTGCTATTCAGGTTAGCCTGCTCCTCCAAAAAAGATTTTTTTTCTAACCCGATATGTAGCTGTGTGTGTTTTCAACTAAGCTTGTTTTGTGTTTAATGTTTACCTCAATAATATCTCTCATGAACAACTTTTAACTTTCCCACATACAGGCAGATGAAGACTTTGGCAGAGTCCCCTGAAGGGCAGGCTAAAATGACAGAAGTTTCGCCTGTTGTTCCAGACCTACAGAACTCATATCACGCTTTAAATGAGCCAGAGCATGCCCTAGTTGTCTGCTCAAGTCAGATTGCTGGTCATTCCTCTCCTGTTTCAAGGCGAAACAGTGCTGATGCAAGTATTGCTTCCCGGAGAGCAATCCCTTGCTTTGCTTTCAATGGCCCATACTTGTACAGCCCATTGATGTCCTCCCAGCCTGATATGCATCAGACCCTGGAAGTGGACCCAGTGGGAGTCCGTGAGAAATCAGTTTCCCTTCAGTATGTGACCCTCCCAAAGGAAGACTGTCCCCAGGCTCCACAGAGGCAAGAACAGCCAGGGGCAGGTCCTCCACAGCCCTTCCCACTCCCAGATCAGAAGGAAATGGTGCAGCACCTCAACGATGAGAAAGAAGTCTCATCAAACCCACCGGCCTATGGGAAAGGCGCAAACGTGAGAAGAGATGAGCAAAAATCTCCAAAGGCTCTTAGCTGTATCACATCTCCTCAGCATTGTCCCTTGGAGTACATCACCACAGAGAGCCTGTTACTGCCATCAGCCAGTGATTCCACCCATCCAGCCCTTGTCACTGCTGGGGAATTACCTTGTGACTCACAGGAGCCCCAGCCTTGCAGTGATCACTCTTGCCATGAGTTTTCTCCCGTGAAAACTGGTGTCATGGTCCCAGTTTCAGGTCAAGCACCAACCTCTTCTCCTGAATTGCATCTGGATACATTTGGAGACTATCTTACTGTCCCTTTAGGTATCCATGAACATTCAGAATCCACAAAGAATTCTTTGCATGTCTTACAGAAGGAAAACAATCCTCCTAGAAAGCAGCCTTTGTCAGAGGGTAACTTGGTGGTGTTAAACCCTGACAGCACTGAGCCAGTTTTCCTTTGCCAGGTTGGCGACTATTGCTTCCACAGCCTAAAATCCAGTGTGAAGATGGATATTAGTCAGGAAGAGAACCAAGGCAAGAAACCTTCTGAAAGGAAGACAACACCTGGGAAGTCTGTATCTGATGATGAATCCATCACTGGCAAGGAAAAGAATGCAGCAAAAATGCAGGCTATTCAGCTTTTCAAAAACCTGAAATCAGATGACTACTTCTCCTGGCAGCAGTCTTTGAGGATCACAGAAATCTGTTAAATGCACAGGATCACAGAAATATGTTAATGAATACCAAAGCTACAGGTCACTGAAAAAGGTTGCAAATATCTGATGAAAATGAACACCCAAACCTAGGAACAAATAAACCAGTTCCCTTTTCCAGCTTCCAGTCCAATGTGTTGAAAGACTTGAAGTAGCTCAATATCCTTCTCTATGGCCTTCACAGATCTGGCATGAAAAACAATCCAAATATTGCCCTTTGGTATATTTCAAACCTTTTGGCTTATCCACAATGAACAGTTTAGCCTCTTCATGATCCTGCGACAGATCACAGTCATCTTGCATCGCCCTGAGGCAAAACTTGTGGCAGGCAATGCAGAGTTAACAGCATGAAATGCTGACAGAAGGAGACAGGCTTGGAAATCCTGGAAAGAAAACTTATATTCTTAAGAGCAATATTGTTCAACTTTTGTGCATGTGTAAAACAGATCTGAGTTACTAAAGAGCTTTCATATCTCTACCTTTCCGCTACTGACATGAAATAGGTATTGTCTAAGGTGAAAAAAACCCCAGACAGTAATAGAAAGGTAAATAATAAATAAATAATAAATAAATGAGAGAAAAATGTTGACATCCAGAAAACCTTTCTTAATGTTAAGGTGCAGTATATTAGTATATTCTAAGGGTAAGAAGGAAACATTACTGGGATACATAAAGTAGGATGTAGAGAACCATGGGGAAGAAGATGCATTATTGAAAGAAAACCCAAGGACTCATAAGGTGCAGTGAGAGGAAGTGAGTGGGGCAGGTAATAGAAAATGACAGGCAAGAAATGTAGTGAAGGTGCACAAGCCTGTATCTGCTGGGGTTTTCTATTTCTAAGTGTTAACGTACTATATTATTTTATTTTAAGTTCATTGGCTGTTTATGCATGATATAACTAATCTTAACTATGTAATTTATTCTTAGTGGTTTTTTTTCTGAGTAATAAGCTGTGTTGAGGAAAAGGAGCCATTTTTTTCCCAGTTCTGATGTAAGGAAAGTAGTGCAAGATGAGTATTTTTTCAGACCTGCCACTCTGTAAATGGCAGTAAATGGCATCAGTAAATGGCTTTGGTTTCAGACCTGAAGGTGGGCTTGCATTCTAAAAAAAACATTTTCTTTTTTCAGATATAAAATTTGTACTAATAAAAACCAATATTTCTTCTTATAAATCTTTCTTTTCCTATGTTAAGAGTATTGTGCTTACAGTAACGTTACTATTAGCTCATCTGATGAGGCCTAAAAAAAATTATGTAGGTTCAACTATGTCACCTGTGAGGTAGGATGTTTCCTCCTGACTTTGCTTTATTATTTGACAGAGATAATGAGAAGACTTTTGTGTTTGTGCCAACTGATTCATCCTGCTGGGTTAATGGGGCAGTGCTGATTCAGAAATTGCAGTGAAATGCATTGGGTTTTTTTTCAGAATTTAAACCCTTATAAATACCACTTTAAATCTGAAAGGTATGCAAATTCAGTGTGGTGTTCTTGACAGCAAAAGGAGGCAATTGCAGCCTCCAACAGAGAATATTGATGATCACTTTACAGGATTTTCAGTTTAGTCTTTTCCTAATCGATGGATTTTTATTTTTATTTTGCTAATCTCTTCTTTGGCCTTTTATGAGTAGCACAAACAATTTCTTCAGGCTGTAGGACTGTGCTCTATCTAGGCAAGTATTAAAAAGAGACGTTAACATTCATATGCAAATTTGGTATCTGGATTCACATCTTGGATATGTATCACATTGCTGGGCCTGGAATTGCTGCGGTTTTCATAGCCAAGAAGAATAGTAAGTGGGAGAATTTTTATTCATCTCAGAGGCTTTTGGATGAAGCCCATTTGCATTGTGATCAGCATTCTAAGAGCTATCTGTGCCTCCTGTCCTTCTGCACTTCCCCGGGCATTTGCAGAGGCCACTTTTGGAGACAGGATTCATAGAGACATGAACATTTGATATGACCCCACAGAGCAGGTATTATGATCTGAAGATTACTTCAGGAGCCTCGAACTTGCAGAATAACCTGCCATTGTCAGGCTAGGGGAACTGAACAGTGGTTTTCTTTTGCAACTATAGTGATTGTTTTAGGGCAGAATGAGTTTCTGCTCTAGGGACTCATTGCTCAACATCCACCTAAGCATCATTTAATAAAATATGTAATGAACATTGGAAGCAGGGGTCACATCCTATGGCTCTACTGTGCCAGAGGAATCCACTTCTTACTGGGTTACAGAATCAAAGCTTCCATAAACTTCATCTATTGCTGATCCTATGAGTCTTTCATTCTCTTCTGCATAAGGTCCTGCTGCAGTGAGTGTGGCAAAAAGCATTTTACAATCCTGTAGCCTGGTGATTCAAGACTTAGGAGCTGTTATGAGTCCCAGGTCTTCAACTTCCTGGCCATTAGCTCA